AGGCCGAATGGGCTATTAGCTCGTAGTCCACAAGGCCGAGAGGTCTAATTGTTTTAGTATAAACATACTTATTGGTCAAATAATGAAAACAAATTGAAATATCCTTAAAATGATTTATTAATGAGATGCCGCCATTTTGATTTTCCCGTGACTGGTCTATCACAAATTAGACCAATAGTAGAGTAGCCAATCACAGCGCAGTATGAGTGATAGACCATTAGTATGTTTATACTAATTACATATATTATTACAATGATGTTGATAATAAAATCTTGATGATAATATCTAAATAACTAGTAAAATATTGAAAAATCAAGTTCAAGGACAAGGATGGTGACAATAAAGATAAGGGTATTCAAGATGGATTGTCTTTTATCTCATTTTATCAGGATCTTATCTTTGTGACTGGAATTCTATTTGTATTCAGATGGATGACAAGAGGTGACATCCTGGCAAGTGAAGATCCTGCTTTTTTCTGTGATAAATGTTTCAAAGAACTCCACTATACTCCCGACCAGCAAAAGATATGTGACTTTGAGGCCTATCCATATATGGGGTTCCAAAACTGGTAGTGCAAATCCCAATAAGGGTACCAGAACTGAAAAGATCTCTCCATATATGGTTGGAGTACCAAAACTGGTAGTGCCAATCCAAATATATGGAACCAAAACTGATAATATCTCTCCATATATGGGGTACCAAAACTGGCAGTGCCAATCCAAATATAGGGTACCAAAACTGAAAAGTTCTCTCCATATATGGGGTACCAAAACTGGTAATGCAAATTCAAATATAGGGTACCAAAACTGAATAAGGTCTCTCCATATATCGGTACCAAAACTGGTAATGCCAAATAATTCAAATATTAGGTACCAAAAATCGCTACGCTTGCTTCTCTCGTGTTTTCAACTCCCACCGTGTCTATATCAGAGGACCATTTTATTTTTCTTAAATAAAGAGAGAGAGGGGTAAAACTGGGCAAACTTCATGTTTAAGATCGTCTCCACGAGATAACCTAGCAATGGGGTTGTACTGATCTGTTTTTAAAACATAGCACACCATACTTGTAGGCCTAGTGACTTAACTCATGAAACRTTATGTACATGTGGCCCACATCTAAACCCGTAATAGGTCGTAATAGAGAGGGGGTGAATTGTTATCCAAAATTGTTCTATTTAAATCTGTAAGGCTTTTCAGTCATCAACAAACGTGATGCTAAATAAGTACTAGAATTAAAAGCTAAAAAATGAAGTACTATTTACTACTGAACTTGACTCGCCATCCTAACTGTACCTTTATAGCTAGTAAAGGCCCGTTTACACGAGACAATCGCAACATTGCTATCGCGCACCCCCCATAGGGGCGGGGACTCCCTAATAAGGAAGGGCGGGGGTCCTTGTCGGAAATTCTGAAAATGACCCCTAAAAGGGACCTGTATTGAGAGATAATGGGCGTGGCAGTGCTTAAATKTCACCCCTAAGAGGGACCAATCAATAACAGGTCGTTTTTTKGGTTTCCCGATTTTATGGCTGTTGTTGATCTTATAATGACAGCTTTTTAGGGTCGCCAGAAGTGACCACAAAACTCAGTTGGTGGGAATTCTCGTCTTAATCACCCTAAGCGGGACCAAAAYACTGATTTCAAACCCTATAAGGGACGACGAGAACCCCCGCCCTTTTATAATAGGGAGTCCCCCCTCCCGCGCAACACCCAAATCGTACGTGAAAACAGCCCTGCGCGTGATTGTAGCGACGATAGACAATCTAAATAGATTGATAGTCTAAAACGGGGTACCAAAACTGGTAGTGCCAATCCAAATATAGGGGGTACCAAAACTGAAAAGAAGTGGCGGATCCAGGATTTTTCAAAAAGGGGTTCCATTTTGTTTTCTCATTTTCCTAAAAACCCCGGGGGGAGGGGGAGGGGGGTACTCCCCGCCAACTTGGGTGGGGGATGTGCCGCTGGGACCTCAAAACCCTGATCCTGTTCCAGAGTTAAATCGCTGAAAATTATACCCTGTTCCAGAGTAAGATCGCTGAAAACGATACCCTGGTTGGCGGCACGTCCCCGTATAGCGAATATAGGGGAGTAGTGTAGTAACGTAGCGTGAATGTATTTAATAAAGATTCATTGTACGATGCGTTTTCATTTTATTTCATTTATCATTTATTTTATTTTTTTATGCTTGAGGGGGGTTCCTAGGAACCCATGGAACCCCCCTGGGATCCGCTACTGAAAAGKTTTCATCACCATATGTGGGTACCAAATATTCCGTTCGAAGATGTCGTACTATATATCGCTAACAGTCAGCTTGTCAAATGTTCAGCTTGGGTAACCTGTGTGTTCTTGTGTTGAAAATAACAATGGATTCCAGATGGCTGCCTTTAGTGTTAATGCTTTCAAGAACAAAAATAAAATAAAAAAATCCTAGCAAAACATTTCAAACCTATTTCTCAAAAAAAAAACACACAAAAATCAGTAGAGTGTTCACACTTGAAATCAAAGTAGCACTAATTTCGGTACGGCAATGAATGCTTCATTTAATGTACAATTCAATTTAATTTGCGCATGCACGATTTACTAAATACAACTAAATAGCACTTTTAGTTTGTACAGTTTCACGRTTTCAGTGCGACCACTCTACGGCCAACATACTTTGTTCATTATAAAAACATGGTTATTACTACAAGATCCATTTTTTTCCCTTTGAAACAATTCGACCAAATACTTCGTTCATTACAGAACAAGAACATCGAACACATCTTTCCACAAAGAGGCCTACTATTAAAAAGATAAAGCTACACCAACGGGTTTTGCTACTTTAAGACTTTTCATGCGCAACATTTCACCCGAATTAGTAGATGTGACAGTCCCCTCTTCTAACTTTGATTTCACTAGTTAAATTGTTTGCCTTTGCATTGAATATACGTGCCCATTCGTTCAAATCGAAGGCAAAGAGTCGGGAAAAAGAACAAAGAAAAGTACTAAATGAGCGGTACAAATGTACAGACAAAATCTCCAAAACAAAACTAGCACTCATTTAGTATATTAGTACATCCAGGGACGTGGTACATCGAAGACTTTGAGCGGGAGCCAATCATATAGCCACTTCGTAAAAAAAAAGTCGGTTCTCGGGAAAGTGAAACACGAGAGATGACAATAGCTATGCAAAAAAAAGAAGAAATAAATAAATAAAAAGATAAACAATAAATACAACAAAAAGGAAAAACAAAATCATTAAACGTCTCGTCCAGGGAATCGATCCCGCTACCGTCAAACCTACATTGGATTTGCAAGCAGCGCTTTAACGCGGTGCGTTACTGGACCACTCTCATTTACATAATAATAGACCACTTGACACTTTCACCGAATAGACTACCCCAATTTGACATTATACTTTTGATAGTTGCCTGGTTAGTGCAAGGGGTTATCCATCAGTGTCTAGGGGCCGGATAGCTTCTCCCTCACTGGCTTTTTAGTTAGCGCGAAGTTAGGACCAATTATCGGGATAGCATGGAAGAGCCGAAATCTCTAACCGGAATGTAAATCGATTCGCCGCCTCAGCTTCACAGAATGTCTCGGGGGAATCGTCCCAACCTTTTTTCGATTTTATGGTCATGGGTTCGAATCCCACGACTCAAGTTTTTTCTTTTTTCATATTACTTTTTTTTACTTTTTGTTGTATTCTTTGATTAGATTCCTACATTAATGTTTGTTTGCAATATCTGCAGAATCATTTAGTAATTATTTCTATATATGCACATTCAGCCCGGCATAGAATACATCATCGCGATAAGCGACACTTAATGAAATTTCGTAAACTTCGATGTCAGACACGGACTGCAGCAATGTCACTATATGTTCTCAATACCTGCTATGTCTAACACTTTTTGGATTTTTCTTGTGTATTATGAATTTATGATTAATCATTTTTTCGTGGAAATAGTCGCATTTCGGCTTATTTGAAATAGAAAAATTCATGTCCGTACGAATAAGTCACGCAGTCTATTCATACGAAAACTAGAAAAAGTAATGAAAAACGCAATTCAAAAATTTCTGAAAGTAATCTAGTTAACCGTGATTCGAAAAGCTAGTGAAAAGAAAAGTGGCAGAAACTAGCAATAAACTAGTATGAGGTGCGTCGGTGTTTCTAAAGAAACAGTTGTGTAAAAAGACAAATTTAACACCGTAAAAATTAAAGTAGGTGAAATARCTTAATTAACGTTTCGGACGTTAATCCTTAGTCAGCGGTCGAGCCAAGTGATGCGGTCGCTCACTTTGAACAGGAATAAAGGCGTATTGTGCGATATCCTACCATTCATTGCGAGCTTTAATGACCACAATTCGAATTTCACTCCACAATTGTATCCAACAGCCTCGATTCGAATGGAACCATTCGAACGAATGGAAAGACAAATACCATAACGCCTGGTAGCCTATTCCGGTCCACGTGTCCGGTCAAAGATGTCGTATATATTTCGCTAAATCAGCTTGTCAAATGTGGCAGCTTGGGTAACCTTTGTGTTCTTGTGTTGAAAATGACCATGGATTCCAGATGGCTGCGTCTAGTGTTGATGCTTTCTGTCTTCGTATTTGAAGGTAGATATTCTTATATTTTGATTGAACTTTGTGTCATGGTACAATTAGGACCATTTCAATTTCTTCTATCGATTCAGTTTTCAGTGGTATTGTCAATCCTGGGGAYATTGTAAAGACAGAGGATGAAGAGGCCAGGTTTTTATGGAATTCAACTGGAAGTAGTATTCTTGAGGCTAAATGGGGACTGTTTGACGRGACTTTTGCAGTGTTGCCTTTCTTCATTAAAGTAAATGTTTTCAATCCGGGARTTGCTCARTACAGTCTGGATTTGGTTACGAGTCAAGCTTCSCGGTATAGAAATCGAGTAAAGTTTATTGGCAACATCACTTTAGGACGTGCATGGTTCATTCTTACAAATCTATCAACAAGTGACACCAGAGAGTATGCTGCTAGGATAAAAGAATTTGGTGAACCCTTTAAAGTTTTTCGAGTGAAGTTAACAGTTTGTAAGTATATAAATGAGCTCTGATCCTAGGTTTATGGACAGGAAGTAAAGGCCAATCGAGGCACTGTCCGAGGCAATATCTATAAGGTTAATTGCATTTTTGGGAATACAATTCCCAAATATATTGTAATTCCTTTATCTGTAGCTTTCTGAAAAATAAAGAAAATACATTATAACCTTCATTGTTGTTTATTGAAATTGTTTTRATGTCTGGTAGCGATTTCAGCCTTCTCTTCTYCTTAATGTGGGGATAGCTCAGCTAATARGCCATCAAATCAGCCCGGAAAATCGTTACCAGCAGACATCAAAAAAATTTCAGGAACTGTGCCAAGGTGACTGTTGCATACTGCCGTAGTCATAAYTTGTGCCAWTGAATMARCCCGGAAATTGCTACCTACCAGACAAAACCTAAAAAAACAAAACTTTCAGGTAACTGTAAAGAAGAGCATTGCACACAGGCCTATAAATGATTATACTAATGTCAATAATGATCTTTTTAGTGCCAGCACCTACAACAACTGCTCGCCCATCAACAACTTGAGAATCCGAAACTAGTGCAACAAGTAAGTCATAAATCTAACTGGAGATGCTATTGAAATTATTATCGATTATTATATCTTAATACATATCAATTTTTTTATTATCATAGCACGTTTTTAAACCCACTGCATGCTGAGAAAATATAGAGAGAGACAACAAGAAGAGAGAGACTGAACAAACTTCAATCAAGATTGAGTCAACAAGAGAACCTATCAATTGGAGTTGCATTGTGTTGAGCTGTTTTTTTTAATGATAGCACACCACACTTGTATAGAGTCTAGTGACTTTACTCATGACAGATTATGTATATGTGGCCTATACCTATGACCTGACGTAAGCTTAATAAACATTAATCCCTTGCATCAAGTCTGACTGTAATAGTGACCGGGTGAATCGTCAACTTTAGATATTTTGGTTCGATGACTATGTACGAAAGAACGCACACGAGTCTCCTGGAAAACAATGGATAATCTTGATTTGTTCTTTTTTTTTTCCCGGAGCCTCGCCTGACTATACCATACAAGTAAAGGTCCGTTTACACGAGACGATCGCCACTTTGCTATCGCGCATTAATTACACCCAAATCGTACGTGAAAACAGCCCTGCGCGCGCGCGATTGTTGCGACAGGCAATCGCGCTGCAAAAATCGCCATAATGCTTATATTTTGATTGAAGTTGGTAGTTGGTGTTATGGTACAATTATGACAATTTTTTCTTCTATTAATTCGGTTTTCAGTGGTATTGTCAGTCCCGGGGACATTGTAAAGACAGAGGGTGATAAGAGGCGAGGTTCAATGGAATACATCAACTGGAAGTAGTATTGATGAAGTTAATTAAATGGGGACTGCTTGACGGGGCTTCCGTTAACCCTTTCTTCATTAAAGTAAATGTTTTCAATCCGGGAGTTTCTCAGTACAGTCTGGATTTGGATACGAGTCAAGCTTCGCGGTATAAAAACCGAGTAAAGTTTATTGGCAACATCACTTTAGGGCGTGCATGGTTTGTTCTTACAAATTTATCAACCAGTGATACAAAAGAGTATGCTGCTGTAATAAAAGAATCTGGCGCAAGCTTTAAAATTTTTCGAGTGAAGTTATCAGTTTGTAAGTATATAAATGAGCTCCAAACGCATTATACAGGAAGTAAAGCTCCATCTCTACAATCGAGGCAATCTAAAGGGCTTTGTATACAAAGGAATAATTCCTTTATCTGTTGCTTTGTGAAATATAAATAAAATAAATTCTAACCGGCTCCATGGATAGTTTATTTTTTTAATGTCTGATAGCGATTTAAGCCTTCTCTTCTCTTTAGTTTTGTTTGGGTAGTTTCCCAGATAAACCATTAAATCGGCATCTCGGAAATCGCTACCAGATATCAACAAAATTTCTGGAAACTGTAAAGGTGACTATCCTTCCTTTGTAATTGATGTCACTTCCTTTGAAGAAATTAAATCACACACAGGCCTATAAATGATTATRCTAATATCAATAATGATTTTTCTAGTGCCAGCACCTACAACAACTGCTCCCTTAAAAACTGCACCTGCAACATGCTATTGAATTTTTTTTATATTTTGATACATATATCAATGTTTTATTATAATAGCAAGTTTTYAACACACTGGCTAAGAATAATAAAAGAGACATAAGAGTAAAACTGGTCAAACTTCAATCACGTTTGTGCCCATAAGAGAACCTGGCAAGCGGAGCTACATGGGGTTGAACTGTTGTTTTGTTTTTGTTTTGTTTTCAAAACATATAGCACACCACGCCTAGTGACTTAACTCATGAAACATTACGTAAGAACATTGATCGCAAAAATGCGGTCGTTTCCCCCGGGGGTCGTTTACCAGAGGTTGTCGCTTATATAGAAAACAATATGATAATTTGAAAGTGCAGTTGCTTTRGTCGCTTTATATCAAAGAGATTATTAATTGAATAATAGCTGAGATTTAAAAAGTTGTTAGTTGTGGGATGTGGTCTCGAGAGTGGTCTGTTAATAACAGCAARMGGTTCCATATTTGTGTTCTTAGGCTGCGTTTAAACGAGCAATTTTTCCTTGACAAGTTTTCCTTKACAAGGAAAAATTGCTCGTGTAAATGGGGTAAAATGGACAATTTTCYTTGTCAAGGAATAGCCAACATGTTCGTGTAAATGGACGACAAGGAAAATGTGGCAAGGGAGAATTGTTTAGGAAAACTTGTTGACAATTCAGACGTGCAATTTTTCCTTGTCAAGGAAAACTTGTTCTTCCTTTACACTAGCAAAGAAACATTGTCAAGGAAGAATTGTCGAGGAAAMCTTGTTGACCACTACACGGGCAATGTTTCACCTTGTCAAGAAACTTGTCAAGGAAAAATTGCTCGTGTAAACGCCGCTTTAATTTAGCTACAATAGACTCTTCATGCTATTTTAATACGTCTGGTACCTCAAGTCGATACTTGACCCATAAAAAAGCTCCTAGCAACACGCCAGACATGTCTCATGTGGAGGCCGTTGGGGTGAGCAAGGGCATACTGGTCTTTAAAACAGTTGCGCAAGGCAAAATAAAATAGACTCGAAGGCAAACCAGGCAAGACAGGAATATTTCGAGAAAATAACGAAAGAACAAAGCAAAATCTGTCATGAGGAAGGATTACTATAAAAACAATCTGAGTACGTTATACGAATTATACGTTGCCGATACGAATATGTATAAAGCAATGTAAAATAGCTAATCTTTAAACTTTAAAAGGGGTCACAAAAAAGCAAGTGACGGCTTATGTAATTAGACCTCTATAAAAACGTAAAGTAAAGTTGTTGTTTAAAATGATCATTGATAAGAAATGTATAAAAATAAACATATTGATATTATATTATGCATACTTTAATTTTGTGTTTCTATACTATATTATCTTAACTGGCTGTCTAGGTCTACGGATAACAAAACCTGTCGCGCCATGGATGTTAAATGTCTATGTTTTTGTTTTTGAAAACTTTTGATAGCATACTAACACATACATCCAACGATTTGGAAAATGGACGGCAATTTCGATCCTTAATCTTAGTAAAACCAAATTTCTGAAACAGTGATCTAGGCCCGAAAAATGATGCTATTTGTTCCCTGATTACCRAAGCTGATCATTGCCCTTGTTTTTCCTATCTGTCCGGTATACCATGTTTTCTCCAGATAAGCACAATGAGATTTTATCAGATGACCTACCGGATAAGATGCGCGCGCCGT